TTATCGATATAGCAATGCACGTTACATGCCCGTCAAGCGCCCTTATCTATTCGAAGCAGATGACACCTCCCATGCAGCGGAGCAAAAGAGCATTTTGCATAAAACGTATGCTTTCGGCATGCACGTATAATCATATTCGTAATATATGCCGCTTGAATCACCGATAATTGCTCTAGTTGCAAGAAATAATTAAAAGTCTAAAATTGTTGATTTTTGATATTACTTATAATGACGAAAGCGGCCCAATATAACCGAGCAGTTTTTTATTACGAAGAGAAAATTGAAAGGTTAAAAATTTTCAGTTCTATTTTGAGGTGATTTTTTTTTCATGTGTTTCCTTAATGTTGTTACTTATTAGCGATAAGACTGATATTAAAATATCATAATGTTGAGTTTCAATCAATTAAAGTTGCAGCTTAACTGAGGGCCTATCTATACGTGCAGTAAGCAGGTATACACACCACTTGAAGCTTAAATTCACAGCAATAAATCTAATGATTTCACGGAAATAAATGCATGCACGCAACATTGCGTTTACATGATGTTTGTGCATGCGTCACGCTATATGGTTATGGATGGGCGATTTGGGGATTTCTAGAATATTCGAAAATGTGAGAAATTTTGTTAGTAATCACACTGAAAGATATATTAAGTAAATTTTGTTCGAATGCTGGACAATTTTCTAAGTAAAGGTGAAAATATGATAACTTTCTAGCTGTTGAAAGTCTCAGCAATAAAGTTCACAGTTAATATTCGATCTCATATTTATAGACGGACGGTTCTATATCCAACGTATAAGTCTAAAATTAGACTGATAAGAATCGAAGATTCATGAATTGCTTACGTGTAGAATAAAGTCCTTTTTCGAACCAAAGAGAAATAAACAAGCACATTCAACGGAGTTACGTTTTGCAAATCTTCACTGTATTGTCAACTTTATTTAGTCCAGTCTGCCATTTTGAAATGTTGCTGGAAGCCTGGAAAATACGTGCTGCGCGCTTTGTTTTTATATAACACTTCGGCGGCAAGTTTCGAGGCCTCCCGCTGTCAGAAGCTTGAAACCGCAGGTGAATACCTGTAGTATAACATCGATTGATTGTATTAAGGTCATATAAGACTGTTTGAATAAAAAATGCAACAATGAATAGAATATTAAGTCTTCACAGCGCAAATACAGCCAACCGCTATCAAATATTTGACTTATTACTTATAACATTATCCGTACTTACAACACGCGGGCTAAGGGCATCTCATTTGTTGCCACGGAGAGAAATCATTTAATTTTGCAAACGAATTATCATACAATACAATATTGACGATAATTAAGTTAGGATATCCACATTATATATATATATATTATATATATATATATATATATATATATATATATATATATATATATATATGTATATATGCATTTAAAATGAAGTATGAATGGACTTTTATTATAATTTATACTATTATTCATAACAATGGTCATGAAATGTAGTATATACCTTATGCTATATACGAAAATATACTGCGAATATTTGTCAAAGTACCCTTGGCTCAGCACCTTTGAAAAACACCAAATATTGCTAAGAAGGAGAATTTTGAATTTTCAAGGATGTAAGAGATCCTTAAAATTAATTATTCCATGACACATGCGCAGTTCAATCTCCTAAGCTACTTCTATTTACTTAGATATTTAGAGCGTGGCATCGTCTAAAGCCTCTCGAGTCTCTAAAACACACATTTCTTTTGTGTTATAAGTTTATGAATTTTATTGTTTACAAGTTGTCGGCAAGGTCTCTGTTAATGGCATAGCATGCCGTGGTCACATGCTGATAGACTTCATAAAATAACATCCTTAACAAGAGAACTTCCTCGCATTTATTGCAAACGGAAGATCATCGATATATATGACACTTCTGGATATAGCCAATGCATATTGTTTTTTAAAAACTGTTGTTATACCTGCACGTATATATGAATGCATACCGACTCATGAATATTATGATCAAATATCACACAGTCTTTGTTTAGCGTCTATTTATACATGCTGACAATATGATATAATTTCATCAGTAGTATAATCTTAATTCACACAATATACCCAAACAGGTTGGCTTAATTGGTATCGGACTCCATTATATTGAATGGCTGTCACTGCATGTCACTGTACAAGCGCACGATGCCTACCGCGGCGCTGTAATGAAAACTGAAAATGGGCATTGTCGGGGCAATTCATGTTTTGATATTGACACCTATTATGCACTAGCCTTGCTTTTTGATGTAAAACACAACTAGCCACGTTAAATTTCAATTGAAATACGAACCTACAGTATATATATATGCACCGAAAGTATAGATGTACATTTTCTATGAAATTTGATTGTTACTATATTAATTGAATTAGGAGCGCGCCCGTTTAAAGTGCTTTGAAACAGCCGAGTTTAATTACATCCAATGTATATATATGTAACCTAAAGTGAATTCTATAAAGCATTATATTAGCTGACGGGCGTTATAACTACCTTAGCTTACCTCCGCAGTAAGATGTAGCTAGAATATATAGCGTTTAAGATAATCTTTTTAATGAGGAATATAGTCTAACATATAGTCTATAGCTAGAAACATCTTGACACATGCCGACAAAGTATTATTTAAACTGAGTCTATTTGATGTATGCATATATAGCCATGAACTCCAAGCACTTCAAATATACTGAATCGTTATATACATTATGATAGCTATATATATGAAAGGAATAACTAGTAAAAAAGTTGTATATAATTATATGACTATGAAATAGAGTCCACATTCTGTGTATTATTGGCTGTTGAGATACATGTATATATTAAAGGTTCAAAGTCTATGTATATTCAAATAAATTAAACATATACTTACCTGTCGAATTCCCACAGCCTTGCAAATTTCGCCTCTTTAATTAACTGAGATATTTGGCTTTTCTAAATATATACCGTCTTTCTATTTCGATCAAATGTTTATGTGAAATATACTTTCTTTATGTCTTTCAATAGTTTATTCAACCCTTATCATATGATCTCTGCTGCCCATGTGAATTGGAGAGATATATAAGGTTATACAAACTGAAACCATACTTCCTGCATGCCAGCTAGCTTCTGGGAGAATCTCGAACGAAACCCTGGCTCAATTAACTAATAATAGAGCGGGGAAAGTTTAACTTGCGTATCTATAACTGTCGATCGCTCCTAAATGCTGTTACTTCGGATTTGAGATCGATGCAAAACTCAGTTTTAACGGTAAATTGAAGTATTACTCAATATTGAATCTCTCACGTATCAGTATGTTTATTTAAGATATGTCACTAGAGAATGGTATGCGTCATTTCCCAACCAAGTGTGTAAAATATTCCAATCCAAGACGCAATATAACTATAAGCACATGTCAACCTCTTGAGAACGGGCCATGCCCAGTGCTATAACGGTAAAGCTGAACGGCCTGAACCTGTGCATTTCTGCCAAATCGAAGGCCTATATGAAAGTGCTTCTTAAAGGCTGTTCGCATGAGCCTGGTTACCGGGATTTAACGAAGCAAAAAATGGACTTTGAGGTGTTGAAATAAGTAAATAACACGATTTTGGTAGTCGTGTTATCATCTTAACAATAGCATGTGATCGTTTTGTTCCATAAAGACTTTTTCAATACCTCCAAATCCATTTCACGCATTGTTATAATTTCACCTGTTTTGGTGTAATATTCGTTATAGTAAATTTTGGTATGTATAAGTCTCATTCGTTGTATATAGGCTTCCCATATCGATTTTCCGCGTTGCACACGAGTTTTTCGTTTCACACGGTTTTTCTCTTCTGGGGGCGGTATTCCAGTCCTCGTACGAAGTTCCTTGAAGCTCGCGAACTTGCGTCGAATTGCGACGAACGTCGCACGCGACATCTTGATTGGTTAAAAACGAAACTGGTATTGCGTGAGGCGAGAATCGTGATTCATGCGAGGACCGTGGGAACCAGAGACCAAGTTTCTCTTACAATTGAACTCGTACGAAATAAACCTCTAGACCTTTCAAAGATGGACTCAAGTGACCATTTTAGAGGTCTTAGAGTTTTCCTTACACTCAAAATGAATGTACGTGCATATAATGTATGCAAAGTCATAATTATGTAGATGTAGGGGCTAATATCAGCAGAAGGTTCTGGTAAGTTTCCAACGTGCTTAAATCTGATAAGATTTCCTGTTTACATGGGCTGGGTTTTTACTTGCTATAGTTTTCTTATAAGTGCATTATAGTTTCATTGACCAGTATCGCTACGGAGACTGAATACAACTACATGTAGATTCTAAACATCCTGTACTGTACATTTTATTAGGTAGATCAATAATTTATTAGTATTTGTGTCCAGTTGAAAATAATTATTTAACTAGATTCAAATACTAATAAATCATTGAAAGTGACTGTAGTAGAATCTACTGATTACATTGTACAGTATGGAATGCCTAGAATCCGATATACACAGCCTGGAAATTCTGCCATTAATACATACATCTATCCATGTTTATCCATCATCCATTTATCTATATCCATATCTATCTATCCAACCGTCTATGCTGTCTTGCAATCACTTGCAAATGACAAATTACAGATCTTTTAGGATTAGAAGAAAACGAATTAATAATAATAATCTCTTTTACAGTTTTCCCCCTTCTTACTCGCGACAGCTGTGCCGAAAACGTTTCGTTAAATGGGAAAATTTTATTCCAGGGAATGTAAACATTGCGGTTGGCCCAACCTCGATCTACTAAAACAAATATTTCAGCTATTTTGCAAAGACGCAAGGTCATAAAATTAGCACTTTATATATTTAGAATAAACTTTTTTCATAGTTGTTAAATTACTCTCAAATATGATAACTTGAATGTGGGCGTTCTTAATTAGAACTTCTTGGTACCACCCATGCAAATGATATGCGGAAACTGCTCTGCATTAGATCTTATCTATGTTCCGTGCATATAATGGCTTTTTAGCTATATCCTTAAAATATTTCGTCATTTGCAGGTGAGGATCACACATGCATTAAATATTTCACATTCTGTTCTGGTTCTTTAGCAGTTCATTGATTCTGACTTCGTTTCTGATAGATACTTTTACTAATTACTGCATCCAGTGTTTTCGAGATCAGTGGTTCGTATCTACGATATTCATGTAACCAAGTGATCTCGCTTTCATTTTTTAGCCAATCAGCGCCAATCAGGAGGGTTGTCAAAATAGAAATCCACTCTGCAGTATTAAATCGATTGTATCTTTTGTTATTCCTTATGAAACCAGTAGAAATTTTGTGATTATGTTTAGTTATAAGAACTATAGTCCTGACATAAATTTGAAGCCGAAATAATTTATATCCCAAAAGATATCGGGTTGTTTCAACCGAGAAATGGATTTTCATTTGACAACTGGTCTCAGTTCTTTCCCGCCATTCCCTGGCTCCTGGCTTACTGGCTAAACATGATTGACATTGTTTTGATGTAAGCTGCCAAATAAGGTCATTGTTACGGAATTCCCAGTCCCCGCGCGCGTCCTCATTTGCCGTTCTCGTTTCAAAATTCGTATAAAAGCCTTCCGAAAATCGATGTTCAGCCAGAAGTATATGACAGGGTTCATGAATGAATTGCAAAACGTTAGGATCTTCATCGTTGCACCGACGATGGATTTGTAGCGTTTGAACGATTGGTCAGCGAACGACTCGGGAGAAACATTGGCCGTGAAATAGTAAATAGTCGATGGACCCCAGCAGATTATAAACACGCCGACCACAACGGAAAAACTGATCGTCGCTCTTTTCTCTATTTTCCATTTCTCGGCGCGTACGACCGTTTTTCGTCGGCGATGATCGGGTGTTGCCGACTGAAAAAGAAATGACATGATAAATGATAAGTTTTCCTCGTGGGATTCGCGGCATAACCTTGGTATTGAACCTCGTTTAAACTTGCAATTTTTGTTTTGATTTCGGTGTGATTTCCTTTTGATAGATCTAAACGAGTGGCTAGTCTTGAATGCTCTGATGTGTAGGTACTCTTATCTGTGCATCCCTGACTTTCCCACTCTTTCCCACCTCTTAAAAGGAGAAAATCACACAAAAATCGCAAGAGTAAAAGGGCTCGTAAGTTGGTAAAGGATAATATTCAATCTTACATGTGCAGCACTGTGATCTTGACAGAATTCACACAACGTCTTGCAATAGATATAACAATGAGACGAGAACATGATTAAGAATGGAAGAAAAACGTTCACAGATATTGCTACAATGCTCCACGTCGAAGTCGGCGAGTTCGTGCATTCTTTGTCTTTCTCGTTACGCCAGTAAAACGGCATCGTTGCAACGATCAACGCTTCGACCCAGCACGCAACGAGCACGCAAATCATAACGCGTGCACGCATACAGTTCATATACTTGAGAGGAAATTTGATGTTGAGGAATCGTTCGATGCTTATCACCATCAAACTCATGATCGACGCATACTCGGTGAAGAAGTACGAGAATCGGTAAAGATCGCAGACCAATCGGGCGTCGATGTTTTCCGACGACGCGTTCTTTTTCGTTATGTACAGCGGCATCGCGGTGACCGCGCACAGCAGGTCCGCCAAAGCTAGGCTGAAGATGGGAAAGTATTTGACCTTGCGCAGTGATGGTTGGGCGTGGAACGAGAATAAGACCAGAATATTTCCGAAGATAGTAAACACCATCACGGCTCCCAAGATGGCGCTGATAACGTCGGTATTGAGAGCGACTTTGGTGTCATTTTGAAAGAGGATTTCCTCGGAGCTGTTTAGCGGAGTTTGCATCGCGCTCAAATTCCGCGTTGTTTTCTTGAGCGTTCAGGTCGAACCTGGAAGTGCAAAGAAAGTAAAAAGTTATTATCTGCTTCAAATCTTTAGTTTCATTCTTTTCAAGCATTCTTACAACGGCTGTAAAAATCGCTATCCGGTGGATAGCGCCATCGCTGGATAGCCTTCGTACCAACCGGACCCCAAAAAAATCATTAACATATCCACTGCCGGCTTTATGTCGAAATATGACGCGTAATACGATATGTCTCTATATGAGTGGTCACCTATTATAGTTTTATACTGTTCATTATTTTTACAATGTGGTGTCGCTCAGATATGTTCAGAACGATTTCCAAAGGTTTTTATACTTGTGAATTGTGTACCACGGGAAGTCTCGCTTGAGGACCTCGTGTGCAAGGCTGGCAGATCCTTTTAAGTTCCGCATAGACTGGAATAGTTGGGGAAAACATTGGCATAAATACTGCAGGTAGAATATTTGTATCTGTCAATTGCCAGTCACGACAAACTACACACGCAAGCAAAAATGCAGGACGGAATGAAAGGTTTTTTGCGATTTGGTTCAACTCTGCAGTGCATTTGTAGTCGGACTACTTTATATCAAGCGAGGTTATAAACAAACAAATTCAAACACGATATTTTGAAAAATAACAAACGGATATAATCGCAATTCGCAAGCACATCAGACCGTTGATTATGCAATAGGCGCGATTTCACAAAGTCTCGATTCAAATGAGACCAACTTTATTTCATATACATAGCCGTAGATCTATACCTTTGCGTTTCCACTGCGGTTTCAAAAATGAAATAATCTGATGCGATAACAGGAAACCAATTTATCCTATGTCCACATTTGCCAAGGCAAGTGTTGTTGTAATAGGAGTGTACTATTGACTTGAAGGATATCAGTATATCGCATATAAACAGTAGCTACAAACAATAGAACCACCATGAAAAAAAAACATTTCAGGCGTCGTATTGACGTATACATGTATTCACTTAACTACGCATTTTGTATTAAAACTCACGAAAATAAATGCACGCGTTGTCTCTGGGTTGTTCAGCCACCAAAACATTTAGCCAAATAGCAGAATCGTACCTCGACGGTTTCACTGAACAAATTACAACGAAGTGAAAGCTTCAAAAATCGTTCTCCTTTCCAAAACTCAACGCGGATCTACCGCAGTCTTCAAGCATTTAGTCTAATACCAGATTTAACTTTCATGCGAACTATGGAGTTATCCAAACTGGATTATAGCATCGTCAGAACCGCTTTTACACCCCCCCCCACCCCTAACAGACGCATCTCTGACGTAATTCGTGGTTCGTAAACGGTTCGAAGCGGTTCATATCTCTATATAACACGCCGGTACAAGAAGGCTAAAGCATGTTTATTTTGATACATGCATGAAATAACATTGAAATATCGCTGTTTTGATAGGTCCGGTGATATAAACCATGCAGGAATTCTTAATCTCATAAAATATATGTCCAAATGCTGCTCATGTTTATATGCTAAGATGATGGTCAGTGTACAATAGCCTTGTGGTTAAAAAAAAGTTCGAAATCAATTGCTTGTTTTTATTGTAAATCAGAACTCGGAAATTCAACATTAAAGAGATATATTTTTATTCTTGATATGATGGCTGAAAGAACTCTATTATGGTCGGCCTAAAATAGCAAAGTATTAATTGACGTCATGTTATAATGTCATAAGCATCTAATGACCATAATTTTACCTATTGAGTTTGACCACAGTTAATGGTTTGACGCTTGTGTTTTCATTGAACACATTTAAATAATTAAACCGTCAATAATTAATTGTTTTTATTTTTAAAAGCCTATTACAATTATAGTGTCGGCGATCAAAAGACAATTATTAGCGAAACCAATACCCATTGATACACTGTTGCAATATATACACTTGCCGAAAATGCGTGGATCTCGTATAGGCTGGGGCTTGTCGCTTGCACAAATATTTTGATTACAATTTAACAGACACCGAAACTTGACATGATTTTTGTTACCAGCTTGCATGCTCTGTCATTAACAGCTTCAATTAACGACCCCCTTTTCCGAATAATGGCTTGCACATGTATATGATAATTATTTTAAATGATTAAAAAAAGTTTATTTAAAAAAAAGTTTACTATAGCAATGTAAACAGCATGCGAAGTATTTTATTACGAGCTCTTGGCGTCAGTTTATGTAACTGCGACAATGGGTGGTCAATGAATGATATTCGCTATATAATTCCTGGTCAAAGCAAATATTTTCATGCGATATGCGTTTGAACGTGTTTGGAAAAGCTTTGAACTTGTCAGTTATTTAAGGCGTTGAAAAAACGCAGGGTGCCCAATACGTCGAATTAGCCAGGTGTCACGCAAATTTGAGGTACATTACACCACATGGCAAGCAAGATCATATTGAATTCTCACACTGAATCAAACAAACAATATAATACAAAGCAATCGTGCAGCCAAATTCGTCGTTTCACCCTTCAGGAAAGTGCCTTTAGCGTCGAGCACAGCAGTCTGCACGTACGTAAAACAAAACTCTTTATTTTTAAACAGAACTCTTTGTCCCAGAGTAAACATGCGACTCACCTTATTGGCTGCATGCAATCCCACGAAGCTCCTCAAAGACGAATTACCCTAAGGACAGAACAGAGAACATATAAGAATAATTATGTGATATTAGTTTTTAAGATCATGGATTCATTTAGACAACCATGTATAGTGGTTTATACCGTATTACATTACATTGCTATCTCAATTCTCAAATGACTAGCCGAAATTATCTCCCCCAAATCTAGGACAATCTGTATCTATCTATCAGTGGTATAATGAGTAGCTATGTAATGCTATAATGCTATATAACAATATATGAGTAGCTATATCGGAAACGTGATGTTTCTAAGCTCAAGGACGCCCCGTCTGAAATGAAATTTGCATTATATATAATAATAGGCAATTAATTTATATAATCGATATCAAAGCATTTAAGTCCTAAGGTTTTTACATACATATATTATGCTTAAACGTACAACAGTATAACCACATAAATGAAAGCGTCTATAGACATCTCACTATAATATCATATTTACAAATTCCAGGCACCTTCAAACCGACTGTGAATTTCTCTCGATGATTCACACAACGTCTTCTTCTTAAACGGTTCAACGTGCTACCATGGGTTATTGGTAGGGACGATTGATCGCGTTCAGTCTGACTGAGTGTGAGTGACCCACACGTAACCGGAATAACGAAACTGTATATTATGAGAATGCTGAATAAATCTGATTCGTCTGGTCTTTGTTGACACGTTCGTGATCACACGTACTTCGCCCCACAATTCATCAATTTGATGAGTATATAATTATATAATTTTTGACCTATAAAGTTCTTCTTACAAACACGTCATCAGTTCCGTTTGACGCTCGTGATAAAATTCGTATGTATATTTTAATATTTACAATCAGTGTATTAAAATAAATTCAGAAGAAAGTTTGTCTTTATCGTTTAATTACAAATTTAGATCAATTGATGTTGTACCAATCTGATGTTTTACAGCCAAAAATAAACGCTTTCAAAAGAAGAATACGTTCTTACACATATTAATAATACATATATATTGTACTCGTATAAGCGAAACGTATGCAATTATTCAAACGCACCTTGCTTCTCCGGGCGCTGATCAAACGCAGCTGTATGGCCTTGCAGTATCAATGCCAACTCTGAAACACCAAACATATGTACAAAAATATTAAATTCGAACGTTCAAATTATATACAGTCACGCAGTATTTTGCCTCGTCAGCAAAACTTGTGCTTCTCGCCTTTCTGAAAATACCGTAGGAAATAACCGTTGTTATTTCACATAAACCTTTGGCAACAATCTGACAAGCATATCAGACGTGTATTGATAACACATGCACCTACCTACCTACAGGTTATATGCAACTGTCAATAGCCAATTTAGTGCTAAGCCATCTATAGGAGAGCGATTCAAAGAAATACTATAACGGAATTTAAAACAATTATACAGTATAACATAGGGTTGTAAATGTCTGTTCCTGGAAATGACGTAAAGGTAATGATGTCAGGGATTCTGAGAAACGAAATAGATCGAGGAAATACGAAGATACTGGAAATTCCCTTAGAATTTCAACGCTTAGAATTTGTGCGTGTTGATAAAAGAACTCATTCGAACGCGGTAGGGCGCAGTCGATACTTAATTGTACATATATGCATGGGTCAATGAGGAACATCTTCTGACCTAAATGAACTCGACCATACATCTTGAATCATCGGGAAGTGTTATCCCGCTTTTTTTTTCGTTGACTAAGTTTCGATATTTGAATGTGCATCCCGTGTACTTTGGAGACACCATCGGTACTGAAGTAACTGAAGTATATAAACAACAGACTGAACTATACAGATACCTTTATTCCGCATTTTTGCGATAGTCACTGCCATATATAAATATCGATAGCTTAAAATGATTTAATTACTTTGTCACGATAACAATCGAAGGAAACTTAACAAACGTGACCTTCCATGCAACCCCCGCAGCCGCAATGCACGCTCTGAAGTGTTATCAAAAGATTATCTATGAGCTTTCGATCGATAAAAATTATTAGACGTTTTCAGGAGCTGAAAGAGGCATTTAGAGAACGTTTTTGTCCGTTTGAGTCGGGGATTCGCGTAATTACAAACAAGCAAGTATCTCCTTAAACAATTCATCAGACTGAATAATAATAATATGTCATTAGACCAAATCATATTTCTCTTTAAGTTCACACGAAATGCATTTCAGTCAACATCAAAACGTTTTGTCATGTTGTTGATATCGGTCACAATCATGTAATTTATGTTATTTTTCTGTTTTTTTCCGAGCATAAAATGACGTTTTACCGCAAGGAAGGATTAGGAAGGATTAACTATAGTCTATATCACGTTTTTATATTCGGAAATGTTTCTAAGCCGTACGTTATTATATATCGCTATTTACACAGCTTGTGTTTGCTTTGCCTGGAATGCATATATATATATTACTGATGGCTTTGGTGATTGATTCTTACACAAAACGTGCAAAAATAACGAAATGCCATATACGTATTATAGATACACTATAGATAATTTGTAACTGAATGGAACCGATTCTTTGAACCGTTAATATTTGTATATTATTGACTTTGACTATAGGTATTGGCATGACAGAATTGGCTATTTTGTATTCAGAATCGTGTATTACAGTGTTTTAAGGTCTGTTCACATGATCCAATTTTGTCAGTTCCTTTTGATGGATGTTTTATAGTCTGTTGACTTGCAATATATATTATGAACAGCAAACTGATCAACTAAGGCCGACACAGTACTGCTTTATCAATAACAAATTACATTCCATACGTCAAAAATGAATTGGATCGTTTGAATGGCCTTTAGAATGCATGCAGGCGCATCAAATGTGGTATATATATCATTAATATATATAACAGTTGCCTAAAAACTACGATAAACACGTTTACGTTTCCACGCCGCAAGGGCCTTAATTCGTCATGCATGCATAAGAGAGTTGGATCTCTTAGAGCAACTCCCGAGAAAAAGACAGTGCATGAGGACGAAACATCGAAAGCGTTATTTGCCTTTGGCATTTTTACCAAATTTTATGATTTTACCAGAGTTATATTACAAGAAAGTGCGATCACGCTGTTTCTTGCTTGTATTAAAACCTACTAAAAATTTACTTAACTTCAAAAACTTTGTTCAACCGAGAGTTGAAAAAAAGCTGCGGGTACGCGGGTACCCCCAGAGGAAGGTTTGCTTTGAATGAGGTTTGTGAGGAAGGTTTAAAGTTAAACAATCTAATTGATCACATGCAAGTGCCAAAAATTCAAATATTTCTTAATGCTGGTTGCCACTTGACTCACTGAGTGACGTAACGTTATTTTGAGGAAGTTTTTGAAAACTTGAAATCCTACCCGGAGTAAGGTTGAACTCTTTTTGCAACTCTGGTTCAACCGGCTTTATAGTAGGTTATATATAATTGTTATTTTTCAAAGTTTTTAAAGTTTCGACACAATTTTAATAACACTTGCCACTCGTGCAGGTAAGGAATATGAACGATTATTATCTTTTTTCTTTGGCTGTATAATTTCAAACATTATCAAGCATTTCGAGCATCATATTTCAAACATTATGATTATTTCATTAACTGATTCAAGATATATTTTGTGAGTCATTTATCTCTCAATTTCAGCATTTCCCCTCCTGAAAATGATAAAGTAGACATGCAGAGTCGGGCTGCCATACTGGGTTTTTATCTGTATCGTTCCGTCTTTCAACATAAAAATTTCAAGAACTCTAGATGAGAGATAAATATTTCAACGATGCAGCTTTAACTACCGTGTCGCAAAAACAAAGCATAATTAAAGCCATGCGTGCATGTATGCACTATGTATATACTTTTTAGAATTTCCACATCAAATGAAGCTCTTTGAACTGAAGACTAAAGATAGTTTTCATTCCGAGATGCATTAATAAGTTTTAAGACGTAGCCAAAACTAAAGATATGTTGATGGTCCCATGCACGATAAGTCTTATTTGCCGTTTTTCGGATGTTTAAAGAGGTTTGGTGGGGAAGAAAGAAATTACCCAGATAATAACTCATCATCAAATGGCTTCATTTCTTCCGAAATTTGTGGGTGAACATGCAACATGCATGCATTCAAAATGTCCGCCGTATAATTTTGGCAATTGTATTTAAATATATCAAGATTATTTATTTGAATATATTATACAGTCTTAGTATACATCAGAATTTACAAGTGCCATTATTGGCCATCATATTTTCGCATCTCGCGTGACTGATAACATACTAAAACAAACATGCAAGCCGCATTAGCACATGTAAGCTAATCGATCAACGAACTCCTGTTATTGCATGCATAACCCGTTAAAGGCGGTATTGAGGCTAATAAGGCGGTTTAAGGCTATATAAGCATGTTTAAAGCGGTTTAACTGCAAGATTTTGGCGATAGCTAAATATCTCTCAGCTTTTCACAAGTCCCATGTTTTTGGCTACAACTTTCTTGGGAAATACACGTTAAAATTCCAGCCGAGACAGAAATTAAAGAAAAACGCCTTTTCGAATTTGTCAGTATATTGCCATGAATAATAATGCAATAGTTTTATAGTTCCAATTTTCCACGGATAAAAAAAAGATGGCAGAATGACAAACTCAAATTTTGTTTTCGAATTTGAATCAATTGAGGAAATGATTTTGAAATGTTTATATCGCATCAAGTGTAGTGAGGAATGGATCCCTTTTGAATACGGGCATATAGTATATATCAAGCAAAAGGATATTGTGTTTTATTATTACTTATTGATTTGTACTTTATAATTTCAACAGAAAACTTTACAGCCTCTAAAGTTCGTCAAGATAGCCAACCTCGCCTATTTTTATGTCATCATCGAACATTTAAAACTGTTATTGTAACCGATTTCAGAATTTGCAAAGAGTATATATATATTTAGATTCTTATAAAACCGGCCGTCGAATATTATAACTGAATTAACACAAACCACACAGTTAGTTCAGTTGTAAATTTAATTGGTTCAAAAGAGGAAACGTCATCTTCAAAGGCTCGCACGCAAATTAGGTCAAATTTCACCGCGTTGAGGTGAAAATCATCTTGTCAAAGTCACGTTTGAAACGTTTCTATCGAGAAAGTTATCTTGCATGTCGCTTCCCCTAAACGAGTACCCAAGTAGCACAATAATACTTTCTAAATGCTCAAATGTAATATGGGATTTGTTGATATATACATCACCAGAAAAAGCCAGGAGAAACCTACCTTATAGATTCTCTGAATTGATTGAAATCTTTATATACCGTTGCTGACATAAATCAGTTTGTAGATATTTACATGCACTTGCTTGCATTTTCAACAATAACACGCGTGAAGTTCATATTTGATTTATATATATCGACATGTTAATGAATCACACTTATCAAAGGAAATTTGAATGATTAATCAACCACATTGCCGCGTTATCTTTCGCATTTAACGCACACGTCATATAGCGTCAGCATTAAGTATTTATTCTTTTCTTTTCGTTTGTCAATATCTGATTCCGACAGCCCTGAATGTAACCGAAATTTCTAGTCTTGACCTTAGTTTGTTTCGTTATCAAAGACTTTATTATAACAACAAAACCACGAGATTGATTTGGTAATTGCCAAAAAACAAATATACCGCCTCACAACCCTTTCGCGGTAGCCAGCTTTATTTCCTAATCGTTATTGATCAGTACGTTTGCATTTCAGGAAATAAGTTGACCGCTAGCATAGAAAATAGACAAAACTTACCCAAAACTTATGTCAACGCTCGTGTTCTTAAGCACGTACGACGAAAAGACTGCTATTAATATAACGTTGGAAAATGCAAAACACTATAGAAAATATAAATTCAGTTCATGAATGTCAAAATTACATGACTACATATACAATACAACGGCTTCTGCGTTTAGACCATCACAACCCAGGAAGACCCGTTGACAAAATTGCTCAAACTTCCCACTGATGATCATATATGTTTTAATTTTTTGGAGGCTTGTTCAACATTCATTCATTCATAAGTCTTTATTAAATATTTAGCCCCTTATTGTATACAGCTTATGAAACCAATATTGTGTTTGATAGTCGAATTCATATTAGAGACGCGGAAAACTCGTCTTAGACAGGAAACTCATTGAAGACAGGAAACTCTTCTGAGTGAAATGAATCCGTTCACAGAGGGGTTCCTCGTCCGACGTTTCCCGTCTAACTTTCCCGTCAAATTTATGGACAGCACATTACTTTTGAAATAGGCATTACTAATCGCATTTTTTATCATCGTGCAGTAAAATCAACATTTTTTTTGTCTTCAATGTAAAAACGATTTGGCTGCAGTTAGTATGGCATTAAAATCAATTCAGTGAGGATTGACTTGTAGTCTACTCTATGATGAACGTTTGTGGCTGGAAGGTAAAGTTTCTTTGAAAAATATGAACTTTTTTCTGCGAAAGAGCGTGTTAGCATTGGGTCAGTTGTTGTTTCCGCTTGCTGTGAGTCAGCTGTGTCTTTGTTGACAAAAATGGGACAACATGCGGAGAATAAACTGACTCATCCGCAAAGGAAGCCTTGACAAAATTTATCACTGGCGTAGCGTTTTACCTATTGTTTTGACTGGAAGTTTAAATTGGTAAAGATGTTGTTGTTCATCGAGAGACTTACAGTACATGCCGCCATTTTTTTCCATGATGTTCAACAAAGCCGAGCATCCCAACCTTCTGTAGACACCTCCTCAAAAAAGTAGCAGATTTGTGCTGGTTGTATAAAAGACTATATAGCTAACTTTTAACTGTAGTTAAGGACAGAATTGGCCAATCAAAGATGTTTAGTTCTGAGTTAACTAGGATTTAACTATGTAAAATGTAAGGGTAAGTCAATTACGATTTCAGTTTGCACTTCATTCGATGTAGCTAAATTCTAGAGGTTGAAAGGGTCTTAATTTTCAAGTCGAATTATACACACTTCAAAGTCAAGCCAGAAACAGTTGATTGAAAAATGAGTCAGCTAACGGTCCTCCGGCAGGAATTGAACCTACGCTTGATTCTTACCCTAATTAAGACTCTTTTAACCTCTAGAATATGCAAAATGTAGTTAAAGAGTTTTATACAACCAAACTTATACAACTGAACTTTCCAATCTTCCTCGAATGATGTGGCACACTGAAAATCGGTGTAGGTCAAGTGATTTGTTTTCTTGCACGTTATCTACATTTTATATTTTTATCAATTTTTTCGAAAGAAGGCTAGGGTTATTTAGGAATCTAAATCTGTCCGAGTTCAAAGCTGACCGCGCCAGAAAAAAACGTGATTGGAAGAATGCAACAACTTGTAATTATAAATGTTTCATTTAGTTGTGATGGCCATAAAAGATTTGCCGATAAACTCTCTTCTATCATAATTACATACTTGAAACATCTCCGACTAATCATTGTTTTTTAATTAAACTGATCCCTTCAATTTTTGGATTCAAATTCGAAATTCAAAAAAGCAGGTGTAGTCTTTGGAGTATAAACCAAAATAGCGCCAACCATGATAAATTAAGACGTATGAATGAAATAAAAGGAATAAGGAATAAAAAATGATAGTGAATACGTCCTATTAAATGCGGTATATTCGCCTGGAGTAGAAAAAATATTGAGCTGTTCTCCCTGAGCTGTTCCATTGCCAGATTAGGCCTCCCTAATTGCTGGCTGTTCTTGGCCTGCGAACAGACAGCAGAATAGTATTCTAATTTGTTTTCAGTGTCTACCTTTTTTCCTTTTGCTTGTTTTCCCCTCATACAAAACATGTTCTCCCCCATTCTTTCCTTCCTCTCTTTCTATCTCATCTGACGAAGGCCCTTACGTCGAAACGTCGAGACGTTTTAAGGCTATTTTAGGCAGTTAGTTTACGTATACTGGTTTATTTATACGATTCAAAATGGCGTATCCTCGGGCAATTTTCCAAGGATGACGAAGCATAAACAAACGTCAATCGTTGCGGACAAAACTGATCATCTCATATTTAATTTATTTCACTCGCGAGCGTGTCATAAGGAGCGACAAGGTTTATGTTATAATTATAACCGGAAATATCATCATAATTCGATCTCATTTCTTCAGGAACAACAGCACCGGCCTCGACTCCAAAATCATACACCTGTACGGTACCCCTGTGCCTCCGATGCTGGATGAGATCGTCAGCATACCACATGTTCATCCGTGGCATCTTGTCCACGGGTATGTTTGCCGTGATTAATCGTTCCGCGTTAAAACGGCCAAGTCTCACAGGGTGGGACGCCCGCGTTTCCCATAGGACCCCACCCATTCGCAGGTCCCATACTTTGAGAGTACCATTGTAAGCACCGCTGACCACTTTCCAAGAGTCCATTTGCACCGTGGTCACTAAAGATAAATGACCTCGCAGGCTCATTTGGGGATGTTCGGTCCTCAAATCGTAGACGCGTACACGATTGTCCTTGCTACCAGTCACCAGGCCTCCCGGAAAGCTAAGATTCAAGCACGTGATGTCGGCGTGGTGGCCGATAAAAGAACACAAACTTCGGAGGGTCGCGATGTCGTAGAGACGCACCTGGGATAAAAAGACAGAAAAGGCTGTGGTAAGACAATGGTCATAAAATGCAAATTGCCTTGCTGAAATCTTATATAACCAGCACAAGTAGTATCCCGATTCCGCTTGAACCATGCCCTACCTTAGCCGTAAATTCATTGCCAATGCCAAATCCAAATGGTGCCCAGCCAATAGCGATAAGGTCTCTATTAGAATCCATTGATGTCACCTTCGTTCCAGCAAGTTTATCGAGTTCCCTCGTGACATTCAGCTTCGCTTCGTAAATGAATACATCTTCTTTTAGGGCAAGTGCGAAGAGTGTTTTGTTCTCGTCCTGTAAGCTTTTTATGAAATTTACCTAAATGAAAATAATTGCGGCATTCCTTAATTCTACTGACTTATCCCAGATAGGTCATTTTTGGATTGTTCTTTCTAGAAGTCCATTAAGGATAACATCTTATTGATCCAGCGTTACTACAGTACAGGAGGAAACCTAAACTAAACTAACTTTATTTATACTGAATAGCTCTATCAGTTCTAAACACTGGTTTTAAACTGTTCGTCCTAGACTAAGTCCAGTAAGGATAATATCTTATTGATCCAGCGTTACTACAGGAGGAAACCTAAACTAAACTACTTTTATTTATGCTGGATAGCTCTATCAGTTCTAAACTGTTCTTCCTAGAGGTTCAGTAAGGGTCATCTCTTATTGATCCAGTGTCACTACACGACGAAACCTAAACTAAACTAACTTTATGTACACTGTTTTCTCAACATATCCAGTCAAAATCATCTCTTTTTGTTACAGTGATACTAGCAGTCCATTCATAATTTTCTAAAAGTTAAACGGATGACATAGAGCACTGGAAACGACCTCAGAAATCCGTACTAGACGGACAAAAATTATTTCACCTTATCTTCAAAAGTGTGGCTATGCAAGAATTGCCATTGTCCATCGTCGTTGACTTGATCGACACGAATGTCGGTTCCTGTGACGCTCAGAAGTAACGGACTGGTTCTGGACGTTAAAGCAATGTGATTGGCCGCTGTACCGATGTGATATTGGTAAATTGGATCAACGCTGATGTCGGTATGCCAAATATTTACAATACCTGTATGCATCGGAAGATTTTCAGTTATATCATCATGCAACAGTAAAATTTTCAGCATTAAAAACGTTTTGCAAACCTGAAAAGCACCTAAAAGTATGTTTACCAAAGCAGGGGTACGCCAAGAAGAAAACTAAATCTTGAACCAAAGCAACTTTTGATTCATTTTATAGTGATAACGGCGTTGACATTTTGCTATGACAGTGTTGATAGCCGCGTTATATTTTGAAAAAACTTGCTTGGTGTTTTGCACCAAATAATGTTCAAAACTTAGTCCATTACATATAATCTAAAGAATGAAGCTAACATAATTTTTCCCCTAAAAAAAGCTTTCCCGCCAAAAACGTTTTCCCGCCAAAATACACAACATATAAAAAAATCTCAATATATCAATGTCAATGTGTCAATGTGACATGCTCTCTGAACTAAGATGAGTCTTTTGGTTTTCAAACACTGTTGGCTATAAAGTAAATATATTTGTCCATGTCCTGCAAGTGAGTTGTGAAATACAATTTCAATATTATACAGTATTTGTTTTTCCATGGTCCTAACCTTATTATCCACCTGCAAATTTAAAAAAAAATGGGAGGCCATGCATTGATCATAAATTAGTATCTGGGATAATTTTTTCCCACCAACAACTTGAAACCTCCTTAGAAATGATTCCAACAGAAAATTAAATTTTAGTTGATTATTCTGAAGGTTTGGGAACTATATGGCATTGAAACTCTTACTCAGTTAAGAGAAACAGGAAACAACATGGAGACAACCCACCACAAGTAAAGGCTGTGGCACAAACACTGCCAAGTCCTGCAACACATTCAACGCTAGCTTTGCTTGGGTCCTGATGAACTTCTGCTGATGGTTCAAGAGAATGTTGTCGATTGGTTTCAACATTCCATAAGCATGTTTTACCATTGGCGTAACCTGCTATCAAGACATCACCATATAACTGACATGCTGTTAAAACCCCACCTAAAGAAGAGGGTTTAGTTCAAGGTAAAAATTCATTTCTCTTAAGATTTGATCATATTAGAGGGGTGATTTGTATAAGAGAGGTGTGTAAGTTAAGAGGGGTGGTGATCATATTAAAGAGGTGGATCATATTAGAGGGGTGATTGTATAAAAGAGGTGTCTAAGTTGGACGGGTGGTAATATTAGGAAGGATATTTTTATTTGAGAGGAGATCATATTAGAGAGATGATCATATTAGAGAGGTGATGGTATTAAAGAGGTTACCATTTAAGTGAAGTGTAAAAAATTAGAGAGGTGGTTGTATAGGTGTTTTAGCTTGCATGCAAATTAACCAATTTCAGATGTTTTGACCATGGAATAGCCAATAAAACTTAAAAAAAAGCACCTTTTTCATATTCAAAGGTTTGAATCTGACAGATCCGCTCTTTCCAGTTTTGGGCGACCAAACGTTGCTTTACCATTTGATCCTTAACGATGCCTTTCCAGCCAAATTTTTCCCTTACATCACCACTATGTCTGGTAAAACCTAACCTTTTGTATAGGTTATACCATAGTAACTCATCATTGGCAATGAACGACCAAGCCTTACTAACGCATGAGCACATGCACAAGTCAACCACATCTAAATGGCTGAAGATCTTTATGCAGACCTCCTTTGGCAGACTGATGTCAAAAAAAGGAATCGATGTTGTTTCATCAATATCTCTGATCAACAAAGATAGCAAATCCTCGTTCGCTTGGCAAGGTAATTTTGGATCATGTGTTTGCTCAGTTTTAGCACTAATTTCTGTAGCTTCTGTTCGATTGTAAGTGGGAATTTCAAGTGTAAGCAACGCTATTGGTTGTTTCTGCTCTAGCTTAGATTTCTTAGAAACACTTTTGAAATTCTCAGAACAAACTGGCCCTTTGGAATCTGATGAGAAATTACAACCATATAATGTACGTGTGTCTTCATGTTCTGCAGTGTTTAATATATTTTTTACACGTGGGTTTCCGCCTTTGGGTTCATTTACACTAGATACTGGGTCAGTTTTAGCCACTTGGATTGTTTTACAATTTTCAGCAAGGTGCTGTTTTGTTTTAATTTCGTGTTTCCATTTTTCCCTGAACGAGGCAAGTTCATTGTCTCCCATTTCAAAAACGCATCCCCAATATACTTTCTAACCTGTCCATTACGTATCAAAAGTGATTAAACCCAGCAAGGGAAACGTATATTGGATGTGAAAAGCGAAAACTGAACCTTCCACGATGACAACACATGTAGAATGTAGATCATTTCAAATTGAACAGATTATATTTATTAAAAAACGATACTTATGAAAGTCCATTCGTGTGCAAAGCGTAGTTAATCCATCAGTAATATCGTGATAAATATTGCAGGATTATATTATGAGCTTTTCAAAGGTGCAATATTAGAACAAAGAAGTGCAATTTGCAAAGAAAATAATGAAAGATTGAGAAATGTAATTTGTAATCTGCTATATTTAGAATCAAAATTCAAAATATTTTGTAACGCGAAACTCCTTTTACTTCTTGCTGATTTTCCTGCGGAAAAGAATTCCCTATTTTTAACTTTATTCTAATAAAATACGTTCAACTCCAGTTTTCAAGGATAAATACGTGAACTTCGGAGGAATTTGAGCAACTGTCAAAAGTGCGGAAACATTTCGCGGAATCGGCGAACAACAGTATTTTAGCGGGTAAAATTTGGCGCCGGGAACAATCTCACAAATTTAAAAGGAAAATGAGCGATCATAGAGAAAGACGAAAATTATGTAGTTCAAAAAGAGTGCCTGTATTCTTAGCTTTATTCCTCCTGATCGCCACAACCACCATCTTCTTCGTATTCCCGTACGTATCTAGTTACTTCGAGGTCTAAAATATTTCAAAATCCCTCGAAACAATGTTGTATTTTTTGTTGATTTTAGATGTCGATACCTCGTCACGACGGTTTCGCCTTTGATAGCTGTGTACGAAGCGATTTTAACCTTGGTTATCATCAGTAACTTTTTCCAAGCTACGATTCAAGATCCTGGCAAGATTCCCAGAGGTAAGTGGCCAGCAGAGTTTGGTTAAAATGACTTGTTTAAAACCTCAAAATTAAAACCGAGTATGTGTAAACAGCATGAAATTGTGTATTTATATAAAATAATATTTATTGACTTCAAATCAGCATCGGGCAGTCCTTAAATATTTGAACACATTAAAAAAACTAACGTAAAGTGATGTTATCTGTAAATATGCTTAGCTTTGTTTCAAAGTTATAAACGGAGTCTCGGGGAAAAGCATTTAAGTCTTCAATAAAATTTTGAAGAAGTTTTGAAAGACGAAGATTCGAAGAACCTGAGTTAATTCTAGTAGTTTCATTCACTTTGAATTTTTACACGTACGTGTTAAATGAAATATAAAGTAATCTATTTGACAAATTGAAACAGGCCAGGGATTGTTTTTTCCAAGGTTATTTTGAAAATATATTTTGGACAGCCAAGGTTTCGGATTTCTTTATAATATATAAACAGGAAGTTGAACATCGTATTGTACTGTCACGAATTCAGACATGTTTGATTAAAACGCAACAAAGCTATTACCTCTTTTAACCTTTCATTTCAACCTCAGCTGATAAAATTTAGATTTAAATGAAATGGGAAAGTGAAAACCCTCACCAGTTGTCACTCTATGTATAGCTGATATGAGATTCCCCCCCCAAAAATTTGACAATTCATTTATATACAGCAATAGATCAAAGTAATCCTCTTACAGTGGATAAAAGTATGAATTTTGGCACAAATTTAGTTATACCCAAGACACTTTGGAACATTCTAACATAAATATGGCTGCAATCTTCCGACCTTCTTCTATATAGCTTAACATGAATTTCCCCATTTCCAATCTTGGTAGGGAATTTATCATTTAGAGTAAAAACAGCAAATCTTTACTCTGACAACAGACCTTTATGCAACTCAGCTGTATAAATGACACAATGTATAAAGGAAGACTTAGTTTGAATGATCAAAACACAATTTTGAAATGGCAGACGAATTTTCATCACTAAAAATGTTTTGCTATAAATTTAAGTTGCCTTGAAAGCCATTCCAGAGGATGATTTCAAATCACCGCTGTTCAAAAGTGTTGAGATCAATGGGATCCAGATTAAAATGAAATGGTGTGAAACTTGCAAGTTTTATCGACCACCGAGATGTTCACATTGTAGCCTTTGCAATAGATGCATTGAGGTATGTATAATAGTCATAGTAAACAAAATACTTTAACAATAGAACAAACTTTAGTGACACTTCATCCTTAATGGGTCTTACTTTCGAGTGGAAATCGAACAAAATCTGAATTTTTTGTAGTCTAGTTTCAATCATTGCTAGCATACGCATGCAATTTTGAGATATATCCCTGTAGGGTGGAAACTTAGTCCATGACTACAGCAGGGAAGGGGACAATTAAAATTTCCAACACAAATTTGTTTAAATGGTCTGTATATTTTAGGTGTTTGATCACCATTGCCCCTGGGTGGACAACTGTGTTGGCAAGAGGAACTATCGATATTTCTTCCTGTTCTTATCATCCCTCACCATACAGCTCATCTCTGTGTTCACCTTTTGCTTGGTGGCAACCCTTAAATTAGATGGTGATTTTAAGGATAATAATGTTATTGCATCGTATCCTTAAATATGAAGACATAGGTCACATTCTGGGATTTGGAATTATCTATGTTGTGAAAAGAATTTGAATAGAAGTTTTCTCATTTGCCTCTTAAAATTGTTCATCTGGGCCCGGTTGTATCAAGCCTGTTCAACTTAAACAGTGGATAAGTCAAAATTAAATAACACTCTTACATATCTCTCTTGAATGAGTCAACTTATGCACTGAATATGTAGTTGTAAACAGTATCTTAATTTGTATTAAGTTAAAAACATTTAGTTTGCTTCTTGAATAAAATGATAGACTTGCTTACAGGCTTGATACAACCGGCTTTTGAACCACGAAAATTTAGGTTTAAAATAACATTGGAAAGAATGATTATTATTGCATGATAGTGATTGGTAGTGTATACTCGTTACCTATTCCTTAACTTAGTCTCAGTCTTATAATAATGGTTATATGTGGTCTAGTGGCCTTTCCAGTCTTTGGCCTTACTTTCTTTCATATTGGGTTAATTTCCTGTGGCAGAACAACAAATGAACAGGTACTGTAAGTAATGGTCAAAAATCTTTGAATCTGTGCATCTAATACAAATTATCATGTGCAGCTAGAATATTTTTAAATATTTATTACCACATAATCTGATGGTGCTACTCTGAATTACCATCAAGTGAATCATATGATGTTACCCGTCTTACCGACCTCCTTTGCTGATAGAGTCACATAATTTGAATGCTTTGTAAATGCTTTTTGATCCAACTGAACTATTACGTGAAGAGCTATACTATTAATTAACCTAGAGTCATACCCACAGTCATGTTACCACAGTTTTATCTGAAGACTTGTATTGAAATGTTTTTGCATGACTTATCGTGATTTTCAGGTCACTGGAAAAGTTCGAAAAGGTGTCAATCCATTCAATAGAGGTTGCTTTGCAAATTGGGAAAATGTATTTTGCTCTCCTATACAACCTCGGTAAGTTTCTTTCAGAGTTGCAAAAACACTCTAATTCATCACATGCTTGTACCAAAAACCCCGATATTACATTATGCTGGTTGCATGATTCATGTTTGACGTGACGTCATTTTGAGGAAGGTTTTCAAAACTTGAAATCTTCCTATTCGGAGGAACTCTCAACTCTTTTTGCAAATCTGGCTTCCTACTCTAATACTCTTGTTTTTCAACCTGGTTTACAGTTTTATTGAGTATTCTACAAAATCCACTATTAAAAGTCTGAACATGATTAGACAAACACTCGTAAGAACAATTACAACAACTGACAAACAGAACCTCAACTATATAATTACAACATAAGCAGCTCTGTTTTCAACGGCGACACAAGAGATTACACGTTATCCGGTTTATGTTTAGTTCAATGCCCGCCTCAAACACCCATAATAAAATGCGTCGTTCTGTTCTTCAATTGCAGACACTTGCATTGTGAAAAACTGGACGAAGGAAGATCAGTTGTAAACGGAGAAGCTTCACCTCACGACGTGAGGTTTGAAATGGAAACGTTGCCGAATCATCAGATGTCCTTTACAAACACGCGAAATTCCAATGGGACGAACTCGACTAAGGTATATACCTGACTTCTTCTACTGTCTTCGCATATCTTAAACTTTCAATGCCTTCTTGCACTTGCAAAGAAGAAAATTTCACTGAAAATTCTTGGCAAAAATTGCAGGTGTAAATGGTGGGCTCTCACACATCTACTTAGAGGTTATTTTTTTTTTAAATTGTGTTTTTTTTATATTGTGTTTCACAGACGGACGGAATTTCACCCCAACCGTTGCAAAGAACGAACCTTGAAATTCCGGAAAACCAACCGGAGCCCAGTTCGCTGCGTTCCCCACGAAGTCCCAACGCCCGGGGTTCCACACCCGTGTTCTACACCCCTGATAAACAGCCCGGGCAAATGAAGGTTTATCGCGAGGCGGAGGTATGACGTAATACAGTTGACGGCAGCCTGCGGGATCGGGGGGGGGGCTGATGATTACATCATGAACAACACGGGGGGCTGTGCCTCTCCGAAGTACTACAAAAATAACATTTATATCATTGACCAGAAAACTAGAATGGGTAGCCAAATAATGTAACTGTTGTTAGTTTTTTTGTTGCATTTAGTGAATCGCGTTTAGAATTTTGAAGTTATACATTCTCCATTCGGGATTTTCATCTATGAATGCCGTTCTCTAGACTTGCGGTAAATTGCCATTACTGTCATTACCAGGAGGATTTTGCATGTTGATGAAATGCTCCATGAATTTATCGCTTAAACTTGATCTACATTTGCTCAAATATTTCTCAAATTTCTGTAACCGCCGAGTTCACGGATGATGCATTCATAATCACAGATCAGTGTTCATAATAGGTTTTAATCAATTTGCGAGAGCCTTTCGAAATTATTCTATTTACGCGTTCATGTGACTCACAGTTTACAATAATAGTTAACACGAAATCGAGACTCGAGACTTTGTTCTGAAAGTCTGCTCTATGACGTATTTCGGAGAAAGCACGTACCTGATTGGTCAACTGGGCCCATTGATCAATCAGAAGCATGCATGCTTTGTCCGGAAACTACGCCACAGAGCAGACTTTTTGGGAAGGTTTATACCACAGACTAGCCTGGGCGGTTCGCTAATTTACCTTCAATTACAAGAACTTCTGCTTGAAAATAACTTGTGTTGTGCGCCTTAGTCAAACACTCAAGTTCCTGTAGTTTAACGCGAAAAGCCTGATGCAACACGAAGTTTGATTGGCTCGTTAGCTTTGGGCAGCCAATCAAACTTCGTGTAACATCCGGTTCTCCGCTTTTAACATTATGAAAAAGTTTACTATAAGCGGCAAAAAAGCTATAAAAATTCAAGGTCTGGTCAGTGTCTTGTTTGTGTGGCACATAAACATTGTGTGTGTCGAAGCATGTTTGTAGTGTTAAAATTGCATTTATTTTAATTTGTAGAACTTGGCACATAATGATAATGTAACAATAATCTTATCAATATACAAATTATTTATAGAAATCTAGGCTACATTATTTACCACCGTATTTTACCGCTTTCGTATGAGACCCACGGAGCTGAAAATACACTGGATCTATAGAACTATAATATTACTCAAAAACAAACCAGAATTGGTAAAGTACCCAGAGAAACAATTGAAAAGAATGAAGGAATAACAACTTTCCAAGAAGGGTAACTATGTATTTCCATGGTTAAGCTTCAGTTAGTGTCACTTTGTTTCTAAAGTTTTCTTTTGATAAGCAAAGTTTTACCTCTGTTTTGGGTCTCTAGATTTTCATTCAGTTTGACTTCATTTTTAGTAGGTAATGGTTGCATACCAGTGTTTGATATGAGGTCAGTGATATTTCTGAAGATTTAGTTTAAAGGTTCACTTCTCATGTAGCATATTTTAGCAGGGATAATAGTAATCCATTATTTTTTGAGCATTTAGCACATGAAAACTTGTCTTACCAGTTCAATGCACTGCAATGTCATAGTAGGGTAACCTTAACTTTTCCCTTGTAAAAACACAATATGATACAATTGAGATATGACTATGTCATTCTATCTTATAGTTATGAATCGAAGAAAACATCTAAATTTTAGTTTTACTTTGAAACATCAATTTCAAAATATTCCCACTCAGATTTTGGCCTGAGTGCAAAGTCTAAAGATATCATTCTACCCCCAATTTTTACAAACGAAAGCTGTCCTGATCCCCATCGATTCGCTTTAGTTTAATATAAACATCAGTTCCATAACCATGGAGTGTCTGTAGGTTCACAGCTCCTCCAAGAAATTCGGCATAGGCTCGTGAGGTCGGCAGACCAAAACCAAAGCCAGCCATACTGCCAATGGTTCCTGACAGATTTGCGTTATGGTTATAGTCAGAGAGGACGTTTGTGCTACTACCAGCTGCATCTTTTTTGAATGTGGTGAAGGAATAGTGAAATATCTGTTCCATCATTTCATCTGAAATTCCACCACCTCGATCTGAAATCCTGGAAAAAAATGGGGAAAACAGTTTAAGGGGAAGTAAACACAACTTTCAGATCTTACAATGGTAAAGGCCTTGATGTAGGGATTTCATTTATTTAGTTGACAACTAACCTTATTGTGAAATCTGTTTTGTTGCTGCAAATAGTAATTTCTACCCTTGGCAAGGAGGACGATTGAAAGGTGTATTTGTCACCATGAAACTCAACAGTCGATCTAAAGTTAAAAATATCTGAAGTATGAGCCGGGAAACATTTCATGTGCTTGACCTGAGCGGCAAATTTAATATGGACTAGAAATTTTTACCTCATTGCATTTTTCAAGAGTTCCAGCAAAATATATTCCAGTGGCGAGGGGAAATATGAAAAGGATGTATCTGTGTGGCCATTGACGACTATGTTTGGGCTGACACCATAGTGATGTTCACACACCTGCCTGTAATCACAGTCAATAGAAAATATTAGCTATTTGCATTGACGAATGTGGCTGGTTGAGCAGAGGCTGACCTTACGAATTTACATACTTGACAAAATCCGCACATCTTTCAATCATAGTCTTCAAATGCAAATTAGTTGCAATACACCCAACGAAATTGCTCTAAACAAATAAAGATTGATATTTTTTTGTTGTTCCTATCATTAAATATCTAATGGTTAATACATCTCATATTGCGAAAATCGGTTACCTTTTCCTCTCGAAGAGCAATATGATGTTCAGCCAATAGTCTCATGCCGAGACGTGATTTCAATGTTTTATCCAGGAAGGAATGAATTGTTCCATACTGTTCCATTTAAAGATCAGAAACCAAATATACAGAGTAAGTTCATATATTTACTGTAGGGACAGAAAGCTAGGATTCTCTATACTATGTTCAACTTACACGTACTTGATGTTTGCAGCCTTTAAAACCACGAGCCAGGGATGTGACAACATGGCCATGATCATCCAGTAATGACCTCACAGTTTTGCTGTACTTTTTTTCGGCTTGTAAATCTTTTATCTGAACTCAGGCACAATTTATTAAGTACTACGGAAACTTAAACAACATCAGAATAGCTTGGAAAATTCTTATTTTTACCTTGGGTATTGAATAAAGAAGGTTGAATGCACGGATGTATAATTCATACTAAAACAGAAGAATACAGAAAAACATGGGAATAATTTGCCTAATAACTGGAGAGTGTTTTTGCAATAAAATCACTACTTACAGTTTCAGAGATGTCTGGATTTACTGCAACAATGTAGGGAAGTGAATGAAAAGCGACCAAGCGTCTAGCAACCCTTATGACAAGCTCGTTTTGAAGAAACTGCACATTTCTCTACAAACAAAGAATGTATGAATTAAGATCTGAATACCGAAAAAAAAAATTTTTCAACGTTTTGATAAGTCAATATAGCACTTACAATCAAATGTGCACCATCTCCAAATTTTCCAGCATGTAGCATTTGATATGGTGTCATCTTGATAGATGGCTGCAAAATAAATAGTTTTTCAAATGGTCACAACACTGACCATACTAGCTTTTGCATTAATTAATGATTTGGTAACCTGACCCTAACCCTTACCCAATTACTTATACTAAAGCATTAGAATGAAGGATTATATTTGTGGATTCTGGACATGAAATCATTACCAATGACTTGTTCTCAGAAAGTCCCTGCACCAAAAATATATAATTACTAGAAGTTCAGGTATTTTGTATAGACAGCTGAATCTGCACAAAGATCAATGGATAATCATTTCTAAGCCAATATGTGGTTCTCAGAACTTGACCTTCGAGGGCATTAAAAAAAAAAGTTTCTTAGTCGTACGTTTCGGTCGTTTCCTGATATTGAAATACGTTGAAATATATCTGTTTATAATTGGAATTCATAACTGTCATCATTCATGCACGGCGGAAGATTGCCATCTAATTTGAACAAAAGAGGATGTTTGCAGAGTAAATTTTTAGCTGAAAAGCGTGGCTTTAATAATATATCAAATTAGCTAGGAATATTAAACTATATATTTGCACAACGCTTCGCTATGGGTATTTCCATGTATAAATTTACGAAGAGACGAAATGCAGATACAATATATGTCTAACAAAACACTAGCAAAAGATGTGATCTCTCAGTAAAAAATCGTCCACTGAAGTAGGATTGCATCGAAATGAACATTTCGAGTATAAAAGTTTGAATGGCTTGCACTTGCAGCGCGGACGCGTTTTGAAATCAGCGTCGATTGTCAAAAATTATGCCTTACCTTGGCAGCACAGTTTTCGATCGCCGCCTGATTCACGTACGACCATTCCTGGTTTTTGTATCTGCGCTCCGAATGGAGTTTAACGGCAGAAGAGATGCCTCTGCGCCGTGGATCGCCGGCAAGACGAGCCAAGCGTAGTAAACTCTTCATTTATTTTGCGCCCTTTCATTCGCCATGATGATCGTGGTGCTGGACCGCTGGTGGTGGTGTGATTATTGTTTTTGTTTCCGATGTATGTCGCAATCGAACGATGAATCATCCGCACCGGAAGTCGATGATACCTATCGGGGAAAGTTTCCCAAGGGGTGATATTCCTGGCGTTTTTTCTCCGGGAGTATTCCACCTAGCGTAGTTCTCAGGGTTGTTCGAAAGGCGCTTAGCTTCTAGGTTAAAGTTCCTAAAGTTACTGAATAAAAAAGCCGAACATTGTTTTTGGCCTTTGATTCCTTTGTTTTAAACAGATATGCTATGTTGATAATTTTTGGCTTATTTATTCATAAAATCTGGCGACCCTGGGGCCGGTTGTACCAAGGCTGGATAGCGCTATCCACCGGATAGTGATTTTTTCAACCTTTCTAAAAATGTTTGAAAAGCAATAAAATTTTAGATTTTGAAGCAACAATTATTAAGGAGGATCCTCACTTTTAGAACACTAAGATTAAATCAAAATTTTAGCCAACAACGGGCGATTCTGAAGCGATTAAAAAATCCACTATCCGGTGGATAGCGCTATCAGGCTTTCATACAACCGGCCCCAGGCCTATACCATGGTTGTGGATTTTGAATATTATATCAAAAGTATTTTTAAAAATTTTGCGCATTTGTTTTTCATTATGGACTTCGACAAAAAGATAAATTAAATTAAATAACACTAGTCGTTCAGCACAAGACCTTGTGGTCTAGTGGCGAAGACAATGGTCTTCCAAGTGGTAAACCGATGGTTCGAATGTTCTTAACTCTTTTTCGATGACCATCGAGAAAAGTATAAAGTAAATGAATTAACCATTATCGTTCAGCAAAAGATCTCGTAGTCTAGTGGTGAAGACAATGGTCTTCCAAGTAGTAAGTGGATGGTTCGAATCTGTTCTTAAGTCTTTTTCCTCATGACCTTCGAGAAAAGTATAAAGTAAATTAAATAACCATTGCCGTTCAGTAAAAAATCGCGTCGTCTAGTGGTGAAGACAGTGGTTTTCCAAGTGGTAAGTTGATGGTTCGAATCTAAGCGTAACTCTTTTTCCGTATGACCTTCGAGAAAAGTATAAAATAAATTAAATAACCATAGCCGTTCAGCACAAGATCTCGTAGTCTTCTGGTGGAGGCAATGGTCTTCCAAGTGGTAAGTTGATGGTTCAAATCTGTTCTTAACTCTTTTTCCTTATGACCTTCGAGAAAAGTATACAGTAAATTAAATAACCATTGCCGTCCAGCACAAGATCTCGTAGTCTGGTGGTGATGACCATGGTCTCACAAGTGTTAAGCCGATGGTTCGAATCTAAGCTAAAATCTTTTTCATTATGATCTCTGAGAAAAGGATAAAGTAAATGAAATAACCGTAGACGTTCAGCACAAGATCTCGTAGTGTGGTGGTGAAGACAATGGTCTTCCATGGGGTAAGTCAATGGTTCGAATCTGTTCTTAACTCTTTTTCCTTATGACCTTCGAGAAAAGTATAAAGTGAATTAAATAACCCTAGCCGTCCAGCACAAGATCACGTAGTCTAGTGGTGAAGACAATGGTCTTCCAAGTGGTAAGTTGATAGTTCGAATCTGTTCTTAACTCTTTTTCCTTATGACCTTCGAGAAAAGTATGAAGTGAATTAAATAACCATAGTTGTCCAGCACAAGATCACGTAGTCTAGTGGTGAAGACAATGGTCTTCCAAGTGGTAAGTTGATGGATCGAATCTGTTCTTAACTCTTTTTCCTTATGACCTTCGAGAAAAGTATAAAGTGAATTAAATAACCCTAGCCGTCCAGCACAAGATCTCGTAGTCTAGTGGTGAAGACAATGGTCTTCCAAGTGGTAAGTTGATAGTTCGAATTTGTTCTTAACTCTTTTTCCTTATGACCTTCGAGAAAAGTATAAAGTGAATTAAATAACCATAGTTGTCCAGCACAAGATCTCGTAGTCTAGTGGTGAAGACAATGGTCTTCCAAGTGGTAAGTTGATGGTTCGAATCTGTTCTTAACTCTTTTTCCTTATGACCTTCGAGAGAAGTATAAAGTAAATTAAATAACCATGGCCGTCCAGCACAAGATCTCGTAGTCTAGTGGTGAAGACAATGGTCTTCCAAGTGGTAAGTTGATGGTTCGAATCTGTTCTTAACTCTTTTTCCTTATGACCTTCGAGAAAAGTATGAAGTGAATTAAATAACCATAGCTGTCCAGCACAAGATCACGTAGTCTAGTGGTGAAGACAATGGTCTTCCAAGTGGTAAGTTGATGGATCGAATCTGTTCTTAACTCTTTTTCCTTATGACCTTCGAGAAAAGTATAAAGTAAGTTAAATAATCATGGTCGACCAGCACAAGATCTCGTAGTCTAGTGGTGAGGACCATGCATGGTCTCACAAGTGTTGAGAAGACGATGGTCTTCCAAGGGGTAAGTCAATGGTTCGAATCTAAGCTGAACTCTTTTTCATTATCACTTTTGAGAAAAGTATAAAGTAAATGAAATAACGATAATCATCCGGCACGAGATCTCGTGGTCTAGTGGTGGAGACCATGGTCTCCCAAGTTGCAAGTCGTTGGTTCGAATCCAGGCTGAACTCTTTTTTATTATTACCTTTGAGAAAAGTATAAATTAGATTAAATAACCGTAGTCGTCCAGCACAAGATCACGTAGTCTAGTGGTGAAGACAATACCTTTCCAAGTGGTAAGATGATGGTTCGAATCTGGTCTTAACGAGCTCTTTTTCCTTATGACCTCCGAGAAAAGTATAAAGTAAATTAAATAAGCTGTCCAGCACAAGATCTCGTAGTCTAGTGGTGAAGACCATGGTCTTCCAAGTGGTAAGTTAATGGTTCGAATCTGTTCTTAACTCTTTTTCCGTATGACCTTCGAGAAAAGTATAAAGTAAATTAAATAAGCATCACAATTCAGCCAAGATCTCGTGGTCTAGTGGTGAAGACCCTGTTCTCCCAAGTGGTAAGTCTATGGTTCGAATCTAAGTTGAACCTGGGCAAGTCAAACTTGTCAACTAGACAAAAGTATATTGATAAATGTAAGCGTTTGGGTAACTTTGGGAGAATAAAGAAATTAATTCAGCTTGACCGCATTTCAAATGCAAATATTTCGCTAGCGAGCCATTTCTTTGCAAGTGGAAATCCAGCTTTAGTACCACTAACAAAAGATTTGATTGATTTCATTGCATTGTAATAGGCTTTCAAATAACAAAAGCTTTCAATTTTTATGTCAATCATTCCGTGCCCAGAAGAAGAATTAATCATATTATTTAAATCTGAGCTGTCAGGACGGGTCTGTCACCCAATAGTTTGGCTTTATTCTTTATCGCAAGGAGCACTGGAGCAGGCAAAATGGAAATGATCTAGCTCAGGCTTAAATTTAAGGCAAGATTACTGGATGAAAATAAGCCAAATTAACATAATCTTTGTCTCACCAGTTAAAACAAACAAAGGCCCGCTTATAACAATGTTGGGCTAATTTATTAGTCATGCATATACCATGCAACCTGTTTGAGGCTTCATTTGGGCGCTGGTCTTCAAAGCATGAACACAAGTCACTTCAAATGCTCAAAATTTCGTCGGAAATCGCTATCAATGATAACGTCTTTCTACAGAAGAAAAGTTTAGTATCTCTCTCGCGCTGTGCCGCTGTCGTTGGTGTTAAAAACAGGTACTTATATGCCTTTTTCTTTACGATTATCTGCTTGCTTTAGTGAGAGATTTTGGGCGAATATTTCAGCATGCAACGTGGCCCAACTTCACCACGTGTAATCCCAAAAATCCAAGTTTATTCGCCTTGTGTTCGATTTGAAATTGTTCTTATAACATTAACCTTGCTTTTTATTCATTGCAGACAAAATTCTGACGACTTAAAACCAAGCTTGACGATGAAATTCGCGAACAAGAGATTGATGACCGATAAATTGTGGCTGAAATGGCTCAAGATATAACTCGCCTTTGAAGAGAGGGCACGACTAGCTTTTTCTCGGAGCTTATTGGTGAAATGAAAAAGGTAATTATTACACGTGCTAAAATCCATGTGAATTTGCGGACGTTTTGATGTCGCGCGGTCCAGCTCAACCAGCTGAATCCTAGCTATAACCGTGCACCAACGTTCGCTTCAACTAGAGCAAATTATATCTTTCAATTAAGTTCTAAAGGCTTCGCAGAAAACTAACATTGCCTTCTACTCTTTTCAGGCAGAGTTATAAGAGCTAAAGTCGAACTAAAAGAAGTACCGTGGGCAAGAAATTCGCCATCGATAACGGCTGAAATTGTCCGAGATGACTCTCGTTTAATGAGACAGCAAGTCCAAAGCTGCTCGTCTGGTAGTTGCTGAAATGAACAGGTACATATCTATTCGTTTCTATTTAATTCATACACACGAGAGCCTATTTCAACGCGTGCTTTCTCCTAATATTTAAGTTTTTTTATTGAATAACTTGCGGATATCACCGTCTATAACAAGTATTGCTTTGTTTTACTTTAAGGTAGAGAGATTGAGCGAGTCAAAGCCATTTGAAACGAAGATTAACCTGTTCAAATTAAAATGTAAGTATTAAGCAACTGCCCATTTTAGATTTAGAGCAAACATAGGAACCTTAAGGTTTAGGACGAACAACGATGGCTGAATTGCTGTTTCTATAACGGAGCTTCGCTTTAAAAGTTTCACCACGCTCCCCTCCTCCATCATAGAGGGTATGCCTATGTGTAATGTTCGGGCGTAGTTCACCCTCCTGCATTATATTATGTACAGTTTTTATTCTTCAATCTTCCCGTATGTTAAAAATTGGTTTCTTATTCTTTTTTAAATTCTATTTCAGGTTGATAAGATATAAATCACCCGCCTCTGTGGAGCTATGATCGACGCCAAAACGACGATGAACGACGCCAAAACGACGCTAAACGACGCCAAAACGACGCTAAAACGACGCTAAAACCACGCCAAAACGACGCTAAAACCACGCCAAAACGACACAATACGATACGACGTCGAACAGCAGCGTAA